ATCCGTCATTGCCAGGGGTGAGTGAGAGCAGGAGGGTGTAATTTTAAAGGGAGAGCACAAGGGAGGTTTTGGGGGTGACAAAACTGTGCTGCATCCTGATTGTGGTGGTGGCTATGACTCTGTACATGTGTCCAATTCAGACAACTGTACAAGATCAGCGCTCCAACCCCTGAGCTATAGAGCCTCAGCCAGATAACTGTACATTAAAAAAATACATTTTTACTAGATGTTAATTTGAGTGATTTCTTCCTGAAATATTTTTTAAGATGTTATTTATTTATTTTAGAGAGAGAGAGAGAGAGTGTGTGCACGAGCACGCAAAAGCTCGGGGAGGAGCAGAGGGCAAAGGATAAGTAGCTCTGTGCTGAGCGTGGAGCCCAATGTGGGGCTCGATCTCATGACCCTGAGATCATGACCTGAGCTGAAATCAAGAATCGGAGGCTTAACCAACTGAGCCACCCAGGCACCCCTCCCTGAAATATCTTAACGACCCCTTTAGTTGCCCTTGGACAGTCCAATTTTATGTTAGTTTGAGGAGGTGGTGAAGGCCTCAAGAAGTCCCGTAGAGCTATGTCCTGAGGTCAGTTACCCTGGAATGTGGCAGGATGTGGCAGGAAAGGAAGGCTGAAACCTTAAGTTTAGGCACACCCACAGGTTCCACCAAGTCTATGGGCATAAATCTTAGCACCGTGGCTAGGGACCCGTTTTTCTAGAATTAGAAATCAAGTGTCCAAATTTAGCTCTATGATCAGTTTTCACAAATAAACTGGAGACTTACTCCTTTACTCAGGATTTAGTAAGAAAAACAAAAACCACTTTGAGTACTTCCAACAACAGCACCATAACGCAGATAATTGGTGATATGGGTGATAGAAGAATGGGACACCAAATAGGGAGCATGATGTACCCCCAGAGAGCAGTGAGTGGAAGACCCCTGGCTGGACAGACAGAGAAAGGAGGGGTTTGCTAAATGTCCAGGGTGTCAGGGGCGTGAAAGCTGGAACCTTGGTGGGATGTCCTTCTAGTTTCTGCCGATGGGGGGCTGTGGTGGGAGAGTGGAAGGCAATAAGAGGGGCTGAGGGCTTCCTAGCAGGAGTAGTTTGCTCCGGCCTCCAGTTCCCTTTAGATCTTCCAGAACCAGCTTCAGCAGTAGCAACCAAGCCTCTTAGGAGGCCCCCAAATCAATTCCACTGGGCCTCTCCTTTGACTGCCCGGGTTCTGGCAACCCCACCTCTCCCATACTGTGTTCCTTGCCCTGGTGATAGTAACTGCTTCTTGCCAGTATTCTCTCTGGGTTAGCTCACAGTTGCTTTTTTGGCTCTCTCATTTCTCCCTAACCAATGTAGCTGATCCCTCTATCACACCTCCTCTGGTGTAACAACTATGGGTTCTGTTCTCCTGATTGGACCCTGACTCCAGTCTCTGGAGACTCGCAGTATAAAGTTAGAGGGCTGGGGTTCCTGGGTGGCGCAGTCAGTTAAGCGACCAACTCTCGGTTTCAGCTCAGATCGTGATCTCGGGGTCATGAGATCGAGCCCCGAGTAGGGCTCTGCCCGCAGCGCAGAGTCTGCTTGAGTTTCTCTCTTCCTCTCCCTCTGCCCCTACTCCCCCGCCAAATAAATAAATAAATCTTAAAAAAAAAATAATAAAAACAAAAATAAATGAAATCAGAGGGCAACCAGTGGTATGGCTGAGTTCCTCGTGTTTGTTTTGCCTCTGTTTGGAATCGTGCCTGCATTTTGAGGATAAAATAAAAATTCCGAAACGTGGTACCTGAGGCCTCTGGGGGACTTTGCTGGTGGTCCCCCATATGTCCAATTCCCTTATCCTTCTGAACACAGGGAGGATTGCAGCTTTCACTTCCCTGAAGTTTGCGGTGCTTCTTTGACTCACGTTGGCCAGTGAAATGAGGAAAGGAATGAGCGTCACTTCTGGGCAGAAGTATTTAAGAGCAGGTGCATGATTATCTGTGCTGTCTTCCCCTGCAGCAGTGAATCCTGAAGCCTCAAGTTGCGATCGGAATATTATAAGACAGAAAAGCCCATGTACGACGTGTAGTCTAGAGGCAGATTTTTTTTTGACTTTGGGGCTATTGCCACAGTAAAACCTCACCTGTCATTAAAATCAAAATGACAAGAAATACCAAGTTTTGGTGAGGATGTGGAGAAAAAGGAACCCCAGCATACTATTGGTGGGAATGTAATGGGTGCAGCCACCGTGGAAAAGAGTATGGAAGTTCTTCAAGAAATTAAAAGTGGAAATACCATATGATCTAACAATCCCACTACTGGGTATTTACCCAAAGAAAATGAAAACACTAATTCAGAGGGATACATGCCACCCTTATGTTTATTGCAGCATTATTTACAACAGGCAAGCTATGGAAGCAGCCCAAGTGTGCATTCTTAGACGAATGAATAAGGAAAACACACAAACACACACACACACAGAGGAATATTATGCAACCATAAAAAGGATGCGATCACACCACTTGAGACAACATGGATGGAGCTAGAGAATATAATGTTAAGCGAAATAAGCCAGCCTGAGAAAGACAACTACCATTTGATTCCACTCATAAGTGGAATCTTTAAAGAAAACGAATAGGCAAACAAAAATCAAAATCAGACCTATAAATACAGAAAAAAATTGATGATTGCCAGAGGGGAGGAGGGTGAGGGTGGGCAAATGGGTGAAGGGGAGAGGCAGCTCCAGGCCTCCAGTTGTGGAATGAATAAGTCACAGGAATAAGAGGCACAGAGTAAGGAATATGGTTAATGATAACTTAATAGAGACCTAACGGGACAGATGGTAGCTACACTTAGATAAACTTGTCAAGTCACTAAGTTGTACACCTGAAACTAATGTAACATTGTGTGTCAACTATACTCAAAAAAATAAAAAACCTAAGCCTATCCTGACTAGTACATTTGTGATTTGTCCTCTGCCTACCTCTCTAGATTCATCTCTGGCGATGGCCCCTACTATCTCACTTTCCCCAAGTGTCAAGAAATCTTAACACCTCTGGGCTGTTGCGTATGCTTCCTCTTTTTGTAGTACCGATCATTTTGCCCTGGCACCTGCTGTTAGTTGTTGAAGGCCCAGTTCAGATGCTACCCACTCCAGAAAGCCTCCTTAATTTGGGTTATGTCTGTTTTCCAATATTTTCCCCAAATACCCGACGTACACTTGTAATGTGACCCTTCCCACGTTGTATCGCATTACCTGATTATTTGTTGATGTCCCTGCTTTACATTATGCTCTTTGGAAACAGGGGTTGAGTCTTTCTGTTTTTGTTGCTGTTGTATTTTTTTTTAATTGTTGCTTTTTGGATTTGTTTAGCTCTTGCTAACCAATGCGTTGAGCACAATGCCTGGTACACAGTAGATATTCAAAAACATCTGTTGAATAAATGATTCAACATATATAAATAAAGCAGAGGTTATGTTTTTTTAATGTTTAGCTAGATACCTACAATGCCATTTAATTGGAAGTTATTTTGTGAATCCTATATTTTCCTGAGGTACCTCTTGTAGCTTCTTGATCATCTACTTTACTTAGAATTCATATCTTCTTATTTATCCTTTGCTTTTGTCCAGTGTCTTTTCTGCCCCATCTTAACTTTTGCTGCTCGGTTTCTATGGACTATCAGCTGCCAAGAACCACTTACAATCTCTGTTGGTGAATATATATAATTAAATTTCAGTGCAGTCCTGGAAAACTGAAAGGATTTAAATATCTTTTATATATTTAATGCTACAATATCCCAGTAATATGTTCCAAATTAAATAAAAGATACCTTTAAATATAACATGACAGCTTTGGGCTTTTTTCCAGCTATTTTATCATCTTCAAATCAGAGGGCTTCATTCTTTATTCTAAATCCCAGGACCAAAAATGCCTCCTGATTCAATTTCAAAATACAGTCTCAATGAAGATTCTCTGGAACAAAAGCAAAGTCATTTCCAGGCACTCCTAGTTTTGTTTCATGTTTCTCATTATCCACACTGAGATTCCTCTAAATGTGAGTCATTTAAGCAAAGCTTTGGGAAACCTCCAGATTCCTTTTTAATTATCTTCAAGTAATCTGAAAATATTTAAGCAAATACTGGAGAGAATACCCTTATTAGCGAGATGTTTTAAAATCACAAAGACCTTGTTAGGAGCACAAGACACTCCTTAAAGCGTTTCTTAACAGCTCAGGTTTGTCCCTTCTAGCTGCCTGTTTCCATCTCACAACATTAAGCAAAATGTAGGTATTGCATTTTTTTTAAGCTCTTTTTTAGCATCCTCCCAATGTGGGCTTCCAGCCAGGGCTCCCACTGCAGTGCACCACTCTGCGAGTTGAAGACAGCTAAGGTCGAACAGCCCCTGGGGAACCTTGGTGGATGCGTTGACAACCGTAGGCATAAATAGATGATCCATTTCTTTAAGCAAGAGGGGCAGAGAGACACGGGAAGATCCAGGCGCTCTTGCTTTCGTGCCTGTATGAAGTCGAGCAGACTATAGGTTTCTGATTCCATAGCCATATTAGGAAAGTGCTGTCTTGGGGATGCCTGGGTGGCTCAGTCATTAAGCATCTGCCTGCGGCTGGGGTCATGATCCCAGGGTCCTGGGATTGAGTCCCGCATCGGGCTCCCTGCTCTGCGGGAAGCCTCCTTCTCCCTCTCCCACTCCCCCTACTTGTGTTCCCTCTCTTGCTGTGTCTCTCTCTGTCAAATAAATAAATAAAATCTTTTAAAAAAAAAAAAAGGAAAGAAAGAAAAGTGCTGTCTTAGACTCTAGTTGGAGGTTGGCCACGATCTAGCTTAGGAGCCCCCTGCAGAGGCATCCTCCTTCTCTCCGTGGCAGCTATAATTTTTGCCTCTGATGGGTCTAAGGGAAACCGATCACTGAAAAGGAACTCGGCAGATTCATTAGAAATACTTTTGCTGGAAGTAGCAGAACACCTGTCTCCCCGTGGCTGAGGCAAATAGGCATTTCTCTTTCTCGTGTAACAGGAGTGCTCTCTGTAGGAAGTGGCGAGGGTGGATTCGATGCCTCAAGGATGTAAGGACTCGATCTCTGCACAGCTGAGCATTTGTGATGGAAAGACACGTACCACAGCTCCAACCATCAGGCCTACCATCAGAGCAAGAAAAGGTGGAAGGACCCCTTCAGCCCAGCAGTTTCTGCTTGGGTCTCGGGGCCCGGAGCTTGAGCGGCTGCAGGAGAGGTTGGGAAAATAAGGAACAGGTTTGTCATGGTTGGCTGAGGGCAGTTGCTCACAACCAAGGTCTTGGTGCTTATACCGACATTTGTCTCCACAAGAATACTTGGAAACATGATAGACACAAGTATAAGGCAACCGATTTTTGCTGGGGCCTTTGTTCAGAATGAGGCATGGAGTCGGCGGCGGGGGGCGGGGGGTACTGCACCTGCTAAGAAGATTCTCCTCTTGCATTCAGCCATAAAAAGGAACCAATGCAAACATGTGCTACAATGTGGATGGACTTTGAAAACATGCTAAGTGAGAGAAACCAGACACATGTGGTATGATTCCATTCATATGAATTATGCAGAATAGGTGAATCTATAGAGACGGAACACACATCGGTGGTTACCAGGAGCTGGGGGAAGTGGGGAATAGAAAGTAACTGCTTAACAAATTCAGGGTTTCCTTTTGGGGTGATGAAAATGTTTTGGGGGCGCCTGGGTGGCTCAGTTGGTTAAGCGACTGCCTTCGGCTCAGGTCATGATCCTGGAGTCCCGGAATCGAGTCCCACATCGGGCTCCCTGCTCGGCGGGGAGTCTGCTTCTCCCTCTGACCCTCCCCCTTCTCATGTGCTCTCTCTCAAATAAATAAATAAAATCTTTAAAAAAAAAGAAAAGAAAAGAAAAGAAAATGTTTTGGAACCAGAGAGAGACGATGGGTGCACAACATTGTGAACATACTGAATGCCACTGGATTGTCCATTTAAAATGGTTCATTTGAGAACCATGGAACACTACATCAAAAACTAATGATGTAATGTATGGTGATTAACATAACATAATAATAATAAAAAAATAAAAATGGTTCATTTGAAATAAATAAAATAAAATGGTTAATTTGATATTATGTGCATTTCTCTCTGAAAAATGAAGACCAGCTTTGTGCAAATAATCTTTATACAGTGTTTATTCAAGCCCAGTAGTTTCAATAAATGCCACTTATTTGCACTTACTGCAGAGATAACGAACTAGTCAGCCTTCAATATCCCCTTCTATCCTTTTCTTCCTTGGTAACTGAAACCTAGTCAATGTGCCCCGCTAAAAAACAAAACCAAAATACTACATTTCCCAGCCTCCCTTACAGCGACGTATGGTCACGGGGCTAAGTTAAACGTTCAGTGAAATGTGAATTGAAGCATTGGGTGGGTCTTCCAGGGAGGATCCTTAACAATGTATGATGTTTTGTCCTTCCTCTTTTATTTTCTTTTTTCCAGCCTGGAAAACAGACTTGAGGCCTGGAGCATCACCTGCCATCTTGGACCATGAGGTGACCTCGAAGATGGAAGCTATATGCTGAGTACAGTAGGACAAAAAGAGAAGAGACTGTGTCCCCAGTGACATCCAAAGATCCTATACCATTCATGGACAGCCTACTTTCAGATGTCCTTTACCCGAGAGAAATGGGAGAGAAAATTCTACCTTGTTATTTGTTAGGGGGAGGAGGTTGTTGTTTGTAGCCAAACTTACTTGTAACTGATACAGCAGCATAAAGTCCTTCCAACGATTCTTCATTCTTTAACTTATTTAAGATAGCACAGCCCAGAATGCGAGTAACATACTCCACTCCAAGGTAAGAATGGACCCACTTACAGGGCTATAGCCTAACAGGTGCTGCTGCCACTTACCTCATCTGTCCAATGGGTACACCAAGTGTACATTTCTATCGAGAGACCTCAGAGGTCGCAGATTAGCCAAACCCATTCCATAAGCATGTTTTGATTAACCAGCTCATTTGTTTATTTTATTACTAATACTGTTGTCACTACTTTTTTTTCTATTTACTTAGTATACTTGAATTATGGTGAAGGGGCACACACTCTCCAGTCTCCCATGATCCACCCACTCTGTATTTTCTCAGACTGAGTGCTTCACATAGGTACAGAACCTACTGTGCTCCTGAAGGCATTAATGAGAACTACCCTTTGAAATGAGTCTTTCAACCTGGGACTTTACAAATAATGGAAGTGGAGAGGATTCAAGAATGTTTCAGCGTGCACTATGCAATGATTCACTAACAATGAACTGAAAGATGAATGTATTGATAAGAGGCAATGAATAATATACCCCATGGCTCCAATGTTCATTTCTAATTTCTCTCCATTAAGAGAAAGCCTTAGGATGTGATTAAGAAGTGTTTCTCTGTCCCGTTGGACTTGAATTCCAACTGCGTTAGAGTCAGTGTTTTCCTGTACCTGGACTTCAAGGATCTTCAGTCTGTATTTATCAACTCTAGACTGTTCATTATTGGGGTGTCTGGGTGGCTCAGTCAGTTAAGCATCAGACTCTTGATTTTGGCTCAGGTCACGATCTCGGGGTCGTGAGATTGATCCACATGTGGGGCTCCACACTGAGCGTGGAGCCTGCTTGGGATTCTCTCTCTCTCTCTCTCTGCACCCCCACCCCACTGCTTGCACGTGCGCTTGCTCTCTCTAAAAATAAATAGATAGATAGATAGATAGATAGATAGATAGATAGACCGTTCACTTATCAACTATAAGTCCAGACTTCTAACTACTGTTACTTCCCAGTTGCCGCTGAATAGATTGTACAACCTGGAACAGAAGTTGGTCCCACTTGAACAGAAGCTCTTTGAGGCCAGAAATCTTGTCTGTCTTTCTCACCACTGTCTCACCAACACCAAGCATACAGGGCCTGGAGCAGAGCAGTCACCCAGGGCCTCAGGCACACTTGTGCAGGTTGTTTTCAAGAGTGCTGGCCAAGGGGAGAGAGCAGGGTAGCCTGGATGAAACCACAGCACCTCCTGCTCACCAAGGGTGCACCCTGGTGGGGGCTACTTCCATTTGGAAAAGGAGGCCTTTTCTAATTGTGCAAAGGTCCGAGGGTGAGCATTTTTGTGTTCCTTGTAGAGTGGCAACAGTTCCGACAGGCTCTCAAAACATGCACACTCCTTCTGTGAGCAATCTGGAATTCAGGCCACAGCCTCCGACTGCCCCAGGAAAAACTATTGTGTCCCCTGCATCACAGTGTTCTGCTTAGCCATGGGACAATTTTTAGACTACCTCATGTGGATCTGTAGTTGATCCATTTGTAAGGTGAAAAAGAAAACCACTGAAAAATCTATGTCCCCGGGGAACTTTCCGAGGTGATAATAATGTCCTCTATCTGGAGCAGAGTTTGGGATACACAGGTGTATGTATTTGTCAAAACTCATGGAATGGGGCGCCTGGGTGGCTCAGTTGTTAAGCGTCTGCCTTTGGCTCAGGTCATGATTCCAGGGTCCTGGAATTGAGCCCCGCATCGGGCTCCCTGCTCAGCGGGAAGCCTGCTTCTCCCTCTCCCACTCCCCCTGCTTGTGTTCCCTCTCTCTTTCTCTCTCTCTCTCTGTCAAATAAATAAATAAAATCTTAAAAAAAAAAAAAACACAACAACTCATGGAATGGTCCACTTAAGATTTGTGCATTATTATCTTGTATGTAAATGTTACCTCAAGGGAATAAATTGAACTGTAAGCAATATTACAGTTAACTTTATGCAAACTTAAATATTTAGGAGGAAATGCACTGATGTGTGCAAGCTGCATTGAAATTCAGCACGCATTGCATGGAGCACTGGGTGTTATATGCAAGCAATGAATCATGGAACACTACATCAAAAACTAATGATGTACTGTATGGTGACTAACGTAACATAATAAAATTAAATTAAATTTAAAAAAATAATAAGATTGAGTGATGAATGGGTAAAGAGAGAGATGGCTAATGTCATTCATCAAGTGCAGTAAACTATTAATTATAGAATCTAGGTGGTGAGTCTATGGGTGTTTCCTGTAAAATTCTTTCAAATGCTCTGTGTTTGAAATTTTTCAAAATGAAACATTGGGGAGAAAAACGCTATGCCCCATTGTAGCAGAGGAGATTATTGTCCCCACTCTTTACTCCCTCCCTTTATTGAAATTAGATCTTCACGCCCTTTGCTATGTGACTTTGTAGGGACCCCCAGTAAAGGAGGGAGAGTAGATTTCCTTGTGCCACGGGGGTTCAGAGTTGGTCACCTGACTCGCTTCCGTGGATGGGGCGCTAGTGGACCTGACAAGAGCAGAGGCGCCAAATGCGCTCGTTCGGTTTAGGGCATCCTGGCCCTTTGCCATTGCCATGAAAAGAAAACATGACCCATGTAGCTGCTATTATCAGAATTAAATTAAATTAAACCTGCAGCCCAAGGCAGAGCTGCCTAAACCAACCCTGGAGCCTGCAAATGAGAAATAAACACTTGTGCGCACCACTAAATTTGGGGATTGTTTGTTATACAGCATTACCACAGTCGAAACCTAATTACCCATTATATTAATTCTGGCATAGAGGCCAAATATTTTGATTGGAGAAACGGTTGCCCTTATCAAAATTCAGGGTCCTAATTCAGTGTCTGAGGGACCTATGGCCTGTCTGAGGGACCAGTGGTATCATGGTGAGAGGCTGGGGCATGGGGGGATTAAGGTTGACATGGAAGGGTTCTGGAAAGGACTGAGGCTGGGGCAGGTGCTTCTAACTGAGGCAACCAAACAGGAGGGCAAACCAGGCCAGGTTCCCTCAGAATATGCTATGCTGTCTCTTCGGTTACATTTTGGGGACAAACATACATTTTCAATGAAACAAGCGTAACGGCTCTCTGAAACTGTGGGCTGTGGAACAAGTTTGAGCTGAAAGAGAACTTAGGGAAGATCTGCATTTACGTAATTTTCCAGATCTGAAAAGTGAAGGACACAGGTCATTTACCTATGCTTGCACAGATAATTGGTGGCAAAGCCAGAGTTAGAGCCTGGGCCTCACTGTGTGACCCAGCTCCCAGGCTGTCCAGGAAAAGCATTTAGCTAAATGACAGAGACTGCTTAAGAAGACCATAGGTTCTTCCTGAAAACTCAGTTGTTCTTTCTTTGCTCACCACTTGAACCTGATCTGATATTTTGATCTTTTTATTGGAGGGAACGAGAGCTTTCTTTCTAACAACTTTTTTTAAAATATTTTTATTTATTTATTTGAGAGAGAGAGAACACAGAGGGAGAGGGAGAAGCAGACTCCCCACAGAGCAGAGAGCCCAACGCAGGGCTCGATCCCAGGATCCTGAGATCATGACCTGTGCCGAAGGCAGACACCCAACCGACTGAGCCACCAGGCGCCCCTCTAACAATTGTTTATTACTTATTACACACACACACACACTCACAAAGGCAGCAAGGACTAGACCCTGAGTGACTATGCTTGGTGAGGGACAGTTAGAAAGACACAGCTGACCAGCTTGAGGTTTGAATCCTCTTACACTCTTGCTACTCAAAGTATTGTCCGAGGACCAGTAATATTGGCATCCCCCTATCGAATCCTGAGCTCTATTCCAGATTTGGGGTGTTGTCATTGTTGTTATTTACGGTGTTCTATTAGTTTCAGGAGTACAATATAGGGATTCAACTATTTCATACATCACCCAGTGCTCATCGTGACAAGTGCTCCCCTTAATCCCCATCACCTGTTTCACCCATCCCCCCACCCCCTCCCTTCTGGAAACCATCAGTTTGTTCTCAATAATTAGGAGTCTGTTTCTTGTTTGTCTCTCTCTTTTTCCCTTTGCTCATTTGTTTTGTTTCTTCAATTCCACATATGAGTGAAATCATACAGTATTTGTTTTTCTCTGCCTTATTTCACTTAGCATTACACTCTCTAGCTCCATCCATGTTGTGGTAAGTGTCAAGATTTCATTCTTTTTGTGGCTGAATAATATTCCATTCTCTATATGTACCACCTCTTCTTTATCCACTCATCAATCAATAGACACTTGGGCTACTTCCATTATCTTGGCTAATGTAAATAATGCTGCTATAAACATAGAGGTGCATGTATTCATTTGAATTAATGTTTTTGTATTCTTTAGGTAAATACCCAGTAGTGCAGTTGCTGGATCATAGGGTATTCTATTTGTAACTTTTTGAGGAATCTCCATACTATTTTGCACAGTGTCTGCATCAGTTCATATTCCCACCAATAGTGCAAGAGGGTTCCATTTTCTCCACATGATCGCCACCACCTGTTGTTTCTTGTGTTGTTGAATTTAGCCATTCTGACAGGTGTGAGGTGATATCTCATTGTGGTTTCGATTTGGATTTCCCTGATGGGAAGTGATGATGAACATCTTTTCACATGTCTGTTGAACCCCTGGATGTCTTCTTTGGAGAAATGTCCCTTCATGTCTTCTGCCCATTTTTTAATTGGATTATTTCGTTTTTGGCTGTTGAGTTTTATAAGTTCTTTATATTTTGAATACTAGCCTTTTATTGGATGTGTCATTTGCAAATATCTTCTCCCATTCTGTAGGTTGCCTTTTAGTTCTGTTGATTGTTTCTTTGCTGTGCAGAAGCTTTTTAATTTTAATGTAGTCCCAATAGCTTATTTTTGCTTTTGTTTCCCTTGCCTCAGAAGACATATCTAGAAAGAAGTTGCTATCTGTTACTGCCTGTGTTCTCTTCTAGGATTTTTTGGTTTCAGGTCTCACGCTTAGGTCTTTCATTCATTTTGAATTTATTTTTGTGTATGGTATAAGGAAGTGGTCCAGTTTTATTCTTTTGCATGTTGCTGTCCAGTTTTCCAAACAGCATTTGTTGGAGAGAATGTCCCTTTCCCATTGGATATTCTTTCCTGCTTTGTCAAAGCTTCATTGACCACATAGTTGCTGGTTTATTTCTGGGTTTTCTATTCTGTTCCATTGATTTTTGTGGCTATTTTTGTGCCAGTACCATACTATTTTGTTCACTACAGCTTTGTAATAATAATTTGAAGTCCAGAATTGTGATGCCTCCAGCTTTGCTTTTCTTTTTCAAGATTGCTTTGGCTACTCAGGGTCTTTTGTGGCTCCACACACATTTTAGAATGGTTTGTTCTAGCTCTGTGAGAAATGCTGGTGGTATTTCAATAGGGATTGCATTAAATGTGTAGATTGCTTTGGATAGTATAGACATTTTAACATTATTTGTTCTTCCAATCCATGAGCATGGAATGCCTTTCCATTTGTTTGTTTCATCTTCAATTTCTTTCATCAGTGTTTTATAGTTTTCAGAGTACAGGTCTTCCACTTTTTTGGTTAGGTTGATTCCTAGGTATCTTACTACTTTTGGTGCAATTGTAAATGAGACTGTTTTCTTAACTTCTCTTTCTGCTCCTTCATTATTGATGTATAGAAATGCAATAGATTTCTGTGCATTGATTTTGTATCCTGCAACTTTACTGAATTCTTTTATCAGTTCTAGCAGGTTTTTATTTTTAAAGATTTTTATTTTTTGGAGAGGTTGTGGAGAAAGGGGAACCCTCTTACACTGTTGGTGGGAATGCAAGTTGGTACAGCCACTTTGGAAAACAGTGTGGAAGTGCCTCAAAAATTTAAAAATAGAGCTACCCTATGACCCAGCAATTGCACTACTGGGTATTTACCCCAAAGACACAGATGTAGTGAAAAGAAGGGCCATATGCACCCCAATGTTCATAGCAGCAATGTCCGCAATAGCCAAACTGTGGAAAGAGCCAAGATGCCCTTCAACAGATGAATGGATAAAGAAGATGTGGTCCATATATATGATGGAATATTACTCAGCCATCAGAAAGGATGAATACCCAACTTTTACATCAACATGGATGGGACTGAAGGAAATTATGCTAAGTGAAATAAGTCAAGCAGAGAAAGTCAATTATCATATAGTTTCACTTATTTGTGGAACATAAGGAATAGCATGGAGGACATTAGGAGAAGGAAGGGAAAAATGAAGGGGGGGGAATCGGAGGGAGAGATGAACCATTAGAGACTATGGACTCTGAGAAACAAACAGGGTTTTAGAGGGGAGGGGGGAGGGGGGATTGGTTAGCCCAGTGATGGGTATTAAGGAGGGCACGTACTGCGTGGAGCACTGGGTGTTATACGAAAACAATGGATCGTGGATCACCACATCAAAAACTAATGATATATTGTATGGTGACTAACATAACATAATAAAATTAAAAAAAATAAAACTATGACTGAGAGCTCCAAATAAAAAAAAATAAAGATTTTTATTTATTTTTTGACAGAGAGAGAGAGACAGTGAGAGAGGGAACACAAGCAGGGGGAGTGGGAGAGGGAGAAGCAGGCTTCCCACTGAGCAGGGAGCCTAACGCGGGGCTTGATCCCAGGACCCTGGGATCATGACCTGAGCCGAAGGCAGACGCTTCACCGACTGAGCCACCCAGGCGCCCCAGTTCTAGCAGGCTTTGGGTGGAGTCTTTTGGGTTTTCTATATAGAGTATCATGGCATTTGCAAATAGTGGAAGTTTTACTTCTTCCTTACCACTTTGGATGCCTTTTATTTCTTTTTGTTGTCTGATTGCTGTGGTTAGGAGTTCCAGTACTATGTTGAATAGAAGTGGTGAGAGTGGATACCGTTGTCTTGCTCCTGACCTTAGGGGCAAAGCTCTGTTTTTCCCCATTAAGGATGATGTTAGCCATGGGTTTTTTCATAGATGGCCTTTATTATGTTGCGGTATATTCCATGTGCATTTGAAAAGAATGTGTATTCTGCTGTCTTAGAATGGAATGTTCTGAATATATCTGTTAAGTCCATCTGGTCCAGTGCGTCATTCAAAGCCATTGTTTCCTTGTTGATTTTCTGTTTAGATGATCTGTCCATTGATGTAAGTGAGGTGATAAAGTCCCCTACTATTATTGTATTATTATCAATTAGTTTCTCTATGTTTGTTATTAACTGTTTTATGCATTTGGTTGCTCCCATGTGTGATGCATAAATATTTACAATTGTGATATCTTCTTGTGGGACTGTCCCCTTTATTATTATGTAGTATCCTTCTTTGTCTCTTGTTAGTCTTTGCTTTAAAGTCTATTTTGTCTGAAATAAGTATTGCTACTCCAGCTATCTTTTGACATCCATTTGCATGATACATGTTTCTCCATCCCCTCACTTTC